TAACAAGAATCATATCAATAAATGGATCACTTACATATATGCATGTATATAAATCTAGGCGATGTATGCTATGCATATAGATTCATTAATGATAAAAGTTTTTTATACGTAGTATATACTTACGAACTTGAACACACACACAAATAAACAACACACAAACACAACACATACACACAGACACACACACACTCTTTCTCCCTCTCTCTCTCTCTCTCGTCCATCTCAATGTTTATTTAATACTAAGAAATAGAAACAGATTAATAACTCGATGTAAAATGTATGAGTCAGCATAAAACATAGGATTACGACAAATAATTGACATACACATTCTAATGCACACACACGCACACAAACACACACACACAACTACGTGCACATTCACATGTATTTCGATACACTTCACATAAATAGAGTGGGAGACAGAGAGAGGACGAGAGAGAGAGAGAGAGAAAGAGAGAGAGATAGGGTTGAAGAGAAAGAGCGTAAGAAAGAGAGAACAAAAAAGAAAGATAGAGAAAGAAAAAAAATCAAAGTGGGAAAGAGAAGAAAGATAAAATGGGGAAAAATAAACAAAAAATGGAAGAATGGATTAGTTGGGAAAAGAAGCTGAGAAAAATAATTTTAACCGATCAGATTGATATTTTTTTATCAATTTTTTTTATTCACATCAAATCAATTTGATAAAAATAATGAGACGACGCGATGTGTGTGCTGGTGGGTGGTGGGGGATTTACTCTAAACTGAATCGTAACGTAGTGCACTGCTCTATACATTGCTAATTGTTAGAATTGGATAATGGCTGATTCAAAGGAAATGAACTGAAATAAGACATTTGGAATGAGATTTAAATTAAATTTAAAAACAATTTAAAAAAAAGTTAAACATTCATTTAGCTAAAAATTTGCGAAATTTAAATTAATTGTTCATTGAAAGCTGCTATTAAAACGACAGTAACTGACTTGGGAGCCATAGGAGAAGATTTTATCTCTTTAATTTCAAGTGTTTGTCGTCTTTCTCGTTGTTGGCTTCCATTGCATACATACATCCATCCATACATACATACATAAATACATACATACATGCATACATACATACATACATACATACATACATACATACATACATACATACATACATCCATCCATCCATACATACATAAATACATACATACATGCATACATACATACATACATACATACATACATACATACATACATCCATACATACATACATCCATCCATATATACATACATAAATACATACATACATGCATACATACATACATACATACATACATACATACATACATACATACATACATACATACATACATACATACATTATGGATTTGTTTTAACCTACGTACAAACATTCATAAATACGTAAATATTACGTACAAATCATGCAAATACATACCTATGATATAAGCATGAATAAATAAGTGTTAAAAATATGTACATCCATACGCTTCAGATACTGACTGCAACAACATATAACACGCAAACAAAACGTAATAATCAACCAACAGACATGTATTACACACACACACACACAAACACACACACGCACACACACAAAAGAACGGCGACCCCGTGCAAGCAAACACATGTTTACTTAGCATCCTCTTCCAAACATATGTCTGATGATTATTTCACTACGTTCGTACAAACAAACCCGCCAGGCAGGCAAATGAACCTCACAAATGACTTAATTGTGAAACATTTAGTATACTTATGCACTTATCAATATAAATATTCTAAATACCTATGTGCCGATGTGACAATTTTGAAGTTGGGAGAGTTATGTGAAGAACAGTTTAACGGTTGTTACACAATTTCTGTTGTTGAGACTACAATAAGTTCAATGTTTTGCTAAGAAATATACACCTTTCCTTTGTAAATGTGATAAAATGAACAAGTCATAATCATAAATACTTTAAGAGATTTGAGTTTTATATAATAATATTGTACAAATGATAGTATGGAAGCAGTGGCATATATGAAAATTTGTTTCAGCAAGCAAATAACGTTGGAGACAGATATATTTCCCGTGTTCGCTGCATTGATATATGATATTTGATCAAATTTTTTTTCGTTACAAACATTCTTCAGCAGTCTGAAACATTTTATTGAACTCTTTTTCTGTAGCGTGCTTACCAGCTTTTTACCCGGCCACTTCAAGCAGTTTTTTTTAACTGCAAAGACAGATGGTGTTAAACATGTACCCACGTGTATGCATTTTTTTAAACACTCAAATCCATTGAATTTTTAGAATATCAAATTTCAGTATCCAATTCAATTACGAATATACATTTGATTCAACTGCCACAACCCAGAAAAACATTTTGCTCTATCAAGAATCCATACGCGAAGCACTGCTACCGGCCACAAAATTTATGTGATGCGGTGCGTCCTGCAAGTTAATGGAGTGCAAGAAGAAGCAAGTGTGGAGTGTAACACTACCAAATTTAATTGTACGACACTCACAAACGCATTTAATTTTGCCACATGTCTTCTACGAGATCACGTTACTTGCAACATGGAACACCATGGCTATTTTTTTTATTTTAAATTTCGTGATAGTTTAATGCCGGTAGATAAATAAATAAATAAAAAGTTGTAGAGGCATTACAGCGTGGAAGTATGCAAATAAAACAAATAAATTACACAAATACATGGAAATATAGGCAGATATAAATATATAGGACAAGGAAAGCATGTGATTATACATAACGCTGGCGGATTAACACGTTCACTCCATCTTTATTCATCCTCTTCTCCACCACCATCATTGACAACAACAACACTGCAACGTAGGACATCATTTAAATGTGCCTTCTTAGCATGCAAGCAGACCTTGTTTTACAAAATTAACATAAAAATAATTAATAAAACCTTAAAAATTAATAAACATTGGAATGTGGCAAACGAGTGAATACGTTATCAATCATCTTACAGAGCAGGCAGATTCAATGATGAGACAAACAATAATGTCAGAAAAACCGAAACCTGGATATAAAAACAGCAGACATGAACGTAGCAAAGATAAATTAAATACCTACAAGCGCCCATCAAATTATATAAACACAGGAAACTCGCCGTATCAACCGAAAAAAAAATATTTGACGACAAATTTGACGGAAAACATCTGATGAAAACGTGGAAATAAAAAATAGTTCGGCGCTCTTATCTCATGCAAACACGTACATACAAACAAATACATACATACATACAGACACACGCAAACATACAAACAAACACATACATACAAACACATGCATACAAACTGAAACGCATAATCACATACATGTGTACACATGATTATACAGATATACAAATACAAACGTATAAATCCAAACTAGTTTTGCTTAATCTCACATACTCACGCACATACATCCAGCAAAAATATCTCAAACTATTTTTTTACGATCGTTTATAAAATTAAGCAATTAACAATAAATAAAATTGTTAAAAAAAGATAACAACATTTAAACGTATGATAATGAAATTTGTGCATGGAATAAACATTGCACACATAAAAATGTTTCTTACTTCTTTATTTGGAAGTTATTTTTTAAAATAACTTGCAGTGCAGTAGACAATAATTTAGTAGCGAAAAAATGTCTAAAATTACGAAATGTTTGGTTACGGAGATGTTGGTTTATGATTTCATTGCTGCTTGGCTGCACAACCGTGAGTGCTCATTCAATCAAATAAACTTCAACAACACAGTAACTATTATAATGAAAATATTAAAATATCAACACAAAAATTAAACCAATGAAAGTGGAAACTTGAATCAGCAAAAATTACAACAGTCTCCCATAAAAAAATTTTCGGACACGTCAGAAGTTTCATGCTTCAGTCGTCGTTTTTATAGAACGCACTGACCCGACGCAAATACTCTACGCAATGTTTAAGGACTATCAAACACCTTGTGGGTATACTGTGACACGCGAATAAACATAAAAAAATGTGTGTGAAGGTGAAGTTTGTGTGGTGTGGTGAGGTTCAGCCAGTAGCACAGGTGTTTAACTTCATGCAACTAAGCTGGCTAGTGGAAGGTGCGCAAGGAAAATTTTACAAGTTCGCAAATTGATTCGTCTGTTATGTTGAACATTTTTTTTTTAGAAACAAATCCGTTATTCTTTCAATTCTTTGTTTAATTTAATTTTTCATTTGTCAATTTCTTTGCTCATTCATACGTTAGTTTTTTCTTCGCTCTTTCATTTTTACATTCACTCACTCATCTGCCCCGAATGAAAAAGAGTTCAATTAGCAAAGGGACAATGCTCGGCGATACGTGCTGCCTATTCAGAGGTGCAAAACTCAACATCTCAAAACGTACGGAAGAACCAGAGGTACAAATTGTTCTGGAGTATACTCATTAATCTACCAGCTGTTGTATATGCATGTACCGTACCGATGTTTGCGTGTATGCGTGTGTTTGTTTGTGGCTAGAGCTTCTAAGAATAATTTGTTACAAATTCAAAAACCGATTACAATTGAATAATTTAAGAAATAAGTGATCGTACCTTTTTATAATTTTTAGTTTGTTTGATTGTCATCATTTTCATAACTCTTTGCATGGCTTATAACTTTGAATCTGTTTATGACACTCATCAATTTTTAAAACTCAAACATCGAATATTAATTTTTTAGGCAATTTGTTTAAGAAACGCATTAAATTTAATCATGCTATCAAATAAACATTGAATATATTCATTTCATTAGTTGCGTCAGCTCAGGATCTCATTGATCAGTACGAAACCTCTTCTTCGTTAAACATTCAATCACAAACTTCCATCTCACGCTCCAACCAATCGTGAAAATTAATTTTTTAAAATTTGATTGATGGTTGGATGACTGTCCAAAAGAAATCAACGACATCCAGCCAGATGAAGAAATGCGTTCGAATGAATTAAATAACATACACACCCATGCCAAAAATATTGTTTTCAATTTTTCATATGTTTTTATTTTGTCTGAAGAATTTTACGACTAACTTCTGCCCCGTTTAGACACATTGTGAACACGTTCATAGATGTTTGTGGAGTCCACCTCGGCCCTGTACAATGACCTTCCCCCCGTCGTCAGCTCATCAAAGATGGCCTCCATCGTGAAGTAGCATGGCTGGGGACGGTTGTCCTCTTTCTTGCTGTTGTTGTTCTTCCTTCTGCTCTTGATGTTTCTCGCCTCTCTCTCGCACCCAACACACTCATCACTCGCACTTCCCAGACTGCTGTGCACTCCATCAAAGTATTTCTCGTAGAGGATCGGCATGTACTTCCAACCAAACTCCTGCCGTAGACTTTCCACCAAAAATTTGCCCAGCTGACGGAAGGAACTGGTCATTCTGGTCAGCATTCGGAAGACTTCTTGTTTATCGTTGAAAGCCTTTGCAGCACTTCCGATTCCCGCGGATAAAATAGGAATGTTCCAGAAAGCTGCGTATCGAGCAATCGGTGCCAGTGCAAATTCGCATGTCGGTCCGAGGAAGGCTTGGACCGATTTGTTGACGTACATGTCTATTGCGGCAATGGGCGCAAACCGATCGCTACATTTCGAGTCGGCGTAGATGAGTTTGATGATGTATTTTGTGGCTGTTGTGGTTGTGGCTGTGTGGGCTGTAGTTGTTGTGGTTGCTGCTAGTAGTGTTTCTGAAGGTTCTAATGCTGATGTTTTTGATGGTGATATTTCTGATGAAGAACGAGATGGAAGTTTATCTGATGGCAACAGTGAGTTCTCAGATGGAGTCGATTGAGATGAGAACGAGGAGGAGGAGGAGGAAGATTTTAAATTATTTCGAGATCGTTTTACTCTACGAGAATGTTCTGAGTGAGTAGATGACTGCGAGAATAATGCAGATGATGACGACGATGGTGATGCAGATGATGAGAGTAAAGATGATGAAGACGAAGACAACAAAGATGGCGACGACGACGATTTGAATGGTGTTGCATGAATGGCTTTTTTAGAGATGTTATCATCGACCGCTCTTAAATTTACATTAGGCCTTTTGAATACGCTGGCATCATCGTATGTCTGATCTGCTCTTGCAGAATAGTCATTTAAAATTTTTTGATTGCCTTCGTTTTTTGGTGCGGCTGAATTATGAGCCACAGAACTCGTGGCGTCGTTGTTGCTGCTGCTGGGGTATGCTTTGCTGATTGCGTTGTCGTGAATGTTATTTTTGTTGTCGGGGCTGTTATCAGCTTCAGTTTTTTTGCTGTGGCTCATAGAAAGTCTATTATTATTATTATTATTATCATCATCATTATTATTATCATTATTATTATTATCATTATTACTATCCCAAATATCACGACCAACTTTATTTGATCTTTCATCTTTAGGTCCGTTAATACTCTTTTTGCCGGTCAAAGTATTATAATAATAACCATCACCATAATAATTATTATTGACATTCTCCAAAATGACGTCATCGTCCTTGCCACCATCGCGATCTTCATCATCATTGCCATCCTCACGTTCATCGTCATCATCATTGTTATTGAGAATGATATCATCATCATCATCTTCATCATCACCATCATCATCATCTTCATCATCACCATCATCTTCTTCTTCTTCATCATCATCATCTTTTTCTTCTTCATCATCATCCTCCTTAATATCGTCCACATTCCTCTTCAACCTAGTACTACTTACCGCAAATAATTTTTTAGCGTTGATTTTCTCGACAACATACTCGATGG